ATACAGCGGAGGCTCCTTTCATACATTATAGTGTTCACTCTTGGGGGGCCTCATGGCTTTGATTGTTCTGGGCGGATGCTACTTTTCATGCAATGGTTGGTCATGGTATCTTCGGAGGATAGGTTATTCTGTCATAAGCATGGCGTTTGGTTGGTCTGATTTTGTGCACCGTTATATTCTCCTTTCCTGTATCTATATAGCTGGTAGCTGTGCTGTACTATGCAGTTCGTGGGATTCTAGTTATAATAGCATCGCCTTCTAGAAGGAGGCCTGAAAAAGCTACAATTCATTCCCAAAAAGCTATCACAATGTGTGCACTGGTAGGTGAAGTTTGATAATCTCCTTAGACATATTCAATAACTACCCTCATCACAAAGAATTGTCCTCCACTTCCCCAACAAGAAACTCCAATCACACCAAAAAAAATAGCATTCGACACTGTTATAAAGAAACACAGCCCATATAGTGAACATCAGCTAACAGACCCAGTGTTGTATACAACTCACAATCAAGTCATCCATCAGTGACCGCGAAGCCAATGTAGAATAGACTAACAACCGAGTCTCAAACTTACACGAAACCCACTGTGCAAATGGGGCACACATACCCTTACTGCAGGCGAGCGGGTGGATAAGAAAGTACCATAGCTGGTAGAAAAGGAACGCAGGCTGATTGCTTGGTGACTTGAGGAGGGGGACTACTGTTCAGCTAATGCAGGATGAAATCTAGTAGTTCGGGCTTCGTTTGGGATATGAAGGAGAAATGATGACATTGTAGGTGGAGGTTGTCTGGCATATATGGATACCGAGCTGTGTTCATTTTTCTCGTGACGACCATGACATGGTACGTGTTCCTATTCTAAGGATTTGTGTCGAATAACGTAGATAGTTTTGTATTGGATTGGATTATCAGGAATTTGTGTCATACTTGGTGCCCCGTGCTTGACAACCATCCCCACAATGGTTTAGAAAGAGGACTGATAGAGGGCTCCGACGTTTCAATCTGCGGCGGGTAGTGTAGGTCATTTTGCTTGCGCACCAAATCCATGATCTCCATGACTAGTAGGCTCTCCGCCCAAGGCATCTCGGGACTTTCCAGGAGCTCTTCGCCGATGCATCGTGCGACCTCGTCCGCCTCCGGGATAAACAACGGCTCTGCCTCCTGGAGTGTCTCTCTATAGGGCTCTGAAAGGCTATATCTATTCTTGAAGACATACAACTCTGTTGGTATCGTTTCCCATCCATGGATCTCGATCTTGCCATTAGAGCCTTCGATAATCACATATGCGAGCTGTCCGTCGGAGCCGGCTGCGGTAGATAGGCTGGCGCTTGCTTTAGCATGTATTTCACGTACACCTGTCGAAAAGATCATCTCGACAGTGGTGGTTTCGTCGACGCCTGACTTGGGATACTTCTTCATGGTAGACGTAACCTGGGTTGGGCGACTCGCTCCTCCTGGGAGAGCCCGAAGTATCCAATGTAGGGCCAAACTACCAACTAAAGTGCGCCATTAGCCTTGGTTTGAAACAATGATGATTTATGGTTCACTTGCGTTCCAAGAGCGCCCCGCCAGCAAGCTCTCTCGAAGTCAGTCGACCACTCTCGGAGCGGAACATGCAATAGTTGTTTCTGATGCCAAAGTTGGCAACTATGCGATTAACTTCTCCAATCTCTCCCTCTCTAAGCAGCTGACAGGTCTTTCTACTTGCTTGTGGCCACCACAGCCACCATCCCTCCATGAGGAATAGTTGCTTCCGCTGTGCAATCTCGAACAGCTTCTTGGCTTGTGCAGCGTTCACTGTCAGGCTCTTCTGGCAGACGACATGCTTTCCTGCTTCAAGGGCTAGCAAAGCATTTTGGAAATGATGGGAGTGTGGTGTGGCAATGAACACCACGTCGATGAGGCTACTGTGAACTAACTCCGAGTAGTCGCGAAATGTCAACGTGCAGTCGGGAACGTCAAATGAGTCGACGAGCTCCTTAGCCATATCTTCCGAACGAGAGGACGCTACGCCGACTAATGCATGATGAGGGCCATTTGGATCTTCTTTGCCCATATGATAATTGAGGTTCCCCACAAAGCCTAGGCGGGTTAGCGAACCGTATGTCTGGGGCAGAGGAATTGAGAACACGTACACTTGGCATAACATCCTGTGCCTTCAAATGATAGGTCATTCTTCAGCGTATTTTAGAATAGAATAGGGGACAGCTAAGTACACACCTAGAATGCCCCAGTGCAAGAGCTCTATCTCATCATCTTCCACTTCACTCATTGTGATATTGGACATGGAACGGTGACAGGTATCAGCAACTAAGGCGTCAACAAAGGGGCGTGAACTTCGCTACTGCTCTAATGCAGTAGATGCCACAGGCTCACTCTTATTCCTTTTAGAGCTAACTATCCATCCTTCGTATTCTCGAGTTGCCAACGCTTGCTCTTCTGGCAAAGTCCATGTTTGAACGAGATCTGGAGCCACGTCGCATGTGCACCTTGACTCTTCTTGAGTAACATCGATATATCTTCCAAGGTACTTCCTACCTATTAGTTGGAGATGCGCATGGTGAACAGGCCAGATTATTGGTTACACAGTTCTGCTGTACTGCCGCAGTTCAGTATGGAATCTTGTAATCGCTAAGGTTTCTCCTCATTCTTACCGGGGCACAAGCATGGATATCTGCCTTGTCTAGGCAGACGTACAGTAAGACAACTTGTAGGGCAGCACCGACTGGAATGCCACCGTAGGATGATGCGGGAGCAGCGACGCCCAGGGTATACACCAATGAGAAAGATAGCGCGACGAGATCCAGGAGACATTCCACAACAGGCAGAGACATCACTGTAGACTTGAGTACTCCGCGAATTGTTATACCAATGAGGGAAATAGGAAAATCAAGATTCATCCAACCTATTCACGTATCTAGAGTGCATATTTATACAAGTAGTTGTCAAGCCAAAAAGAGAACATCAATGGGGAAAAAATACATAGTGCAGAGATAATGAATCACTCGGCCATCACCAGGCTGATAAAGGGACATGCAAAGTTCTCCGTTGGATGAGGCTTGCTGACCATCCCCAAGCATATTGTTAATGAAACTCTTCACAAGCAGCAAATTACCAAAGTCTGTTCTCGGGCAAGACCTTCTCCTTCTTAACACCAGCAGCAGTCTTCCTCTCAACCGGCGAGCGGAAGAACAGACTGGGTCCCTCCATAGGCTTCAACAAATGGCTCAGATAACCCCTGTGAGCAGGATCACGGTAGTACTCGATATCCTTTCTCTTCGTCGGGTCGGGCAGCCTATACTGGAAGCCCATCTCCTTCATAATGGCAGACTCGGTCAGGTTCTCAGCTCCCTCGGCGTTGTTCAATCCCTCGCTACCACTCTCCTTTGTCCAGGCCGTAGACACGAACGGGTGCGTCTCACGGCGCATGATACGTGCGATTGCCGACTTGGTGTAGAATCTGGTAGTAACGGATCCACCCGCAGCCTCAACAGCAGCAATAGCGCTTGCTGAGGCGCGAGAAACGACGATATGGATGGGTTGTTTGAGGGTAGATTCAGCGCCTCGACCGAGAAGCTTTACTCCTTCTTTTGTTTGGTGGATGCAGCGTGATTGGGCCAGCTCGCGGATGGTGATGGGCCGAGCAGGGTCGATGCGGCCTTGGTCGATCCATTCTTGGATGCGGTCGAGGTTGACCGGGGCGAGGTCAAGAGAGAACCTGTATTAACCGGAGTCAGTGAGTTCACGATGTTTCCCGCACCTGCAATTTCGGTAATGGCGGCAGCGTGTTAAGCCGGGAGAGCCAGAAATACAGAAAATAAGGAAACATACACATTATTGAACCCTCTCTCGCCATGAACAATAATTTCTGCCGTCTGACCACCATTGAATCTAGCCGGGACCTTTCCGTGCTGCTTCTGACCCTTGTGACCTCTTCCGGAGGTCTTACCTTTCCCTGATGCTGGACCGCGACCTCTCCTGATCCGCTTGTTATAGGCACCCGGGGTATCGGAAAGGGAAGCTAGGATGTGAGCATTGCGGCTTTGTTGCTGAAGCTGAGGGAAAAGGAGGGAAAGAGACGAGACGGCGGCTAGGGGTTTCGAAAGTGGGCGCTGCCACTGGGTAGACAGTATTTGAAGCCTGGGTGGCATGGTGATTTGCAATGTTCAGTCGTCGTTGAAGGGGAATCAACGGGTTTCGGCGTGAGATACACGCCAAAGATCTTTCGGATGCAGGCCTGAGGCCCATTGCCGGATATACATCGGGCCGGTGGGGACTTTGTATTGTAGGTCCAAAACTCCACTTGTCATAAAGTTTAAGATATCATAATTTCTGTGCGTTAAGCTGATGAAGACCTAATCTGCTGTGCTTTTCCATTAATTTTGTCAAGGATTCTTGATCCAGTTGACCTACGTACTAGTAGTCTATCTATTCACTACAGCTACAGGATTCCTCCCTCTCCCATTGGTCAATTGTTCTATAAGAAGTTACCGCACTCATTCTATGGCAGAATTATCTTGTTAGAAGGCGGTGGCTACGCTGAACGGGGCTGTTACAATGACTGGTTTATATGAATCGAAAAAGTTTTCATACATTTATATCCTTCCAGACCAATATGAACCTGTTTGGGTACTTCTTTATGATGTCACTTGCGAACTCCTAAACATGCCAATGCAAGCAGATGTTCGACTTGGGTGTATGAACGGAGATAGCAATCAACAACGCCATTGCCATGCTTCGTCCAGATAAAAAAAAAAAGAAAAAGAAAAAAAAAGTCGCCCTTCCCTGATCCTTAGTGATCCCGTTGGCTCTTCAATGCAGTAGCCGTCTATAATATTGAACGCCGTAATAATGCAAGGTCGTTAGAATAACAGAAAAAGGAGAGGTATAAACTGTACAAAATACAGGATGGAAGAAAAAAGAAAGAAAAAAGGGCTAAACACCTCTTTCGTACGGAGTCATGATTCAATCGTAACATGAGATGAAGATGTCAATGAACTTTAATAGTGTGGAGTTGAATGGAAGGTGGGTTGAAGAAAAGGTGCCTGCGGCCAAGCCTCATGATGAAGGTAGGGCAGCAAGCCTGTCTTGCGCTCTGCTGCAGTTTTGCCGAGTGGCTGATAATGCATATGCTCGAAAGGAACTGCGCGCTGTTGTTGAAGTGAGGATGACGGCGGAGGAATCAACAAGGTGTTGAAATTGCGAACAGGTCGGTAAGGTGAGTTGCGGTTTGCAAGGAAAAATGAAGGCGACAAGTTAGTCTGGGGGGTGTGGCTCGAGTATGCAGAGATGGCGGGAGAGATAGTGGCCGAGGTGACGCCAAACGGACTATTATGCTGCCTTGCAGGGTCTGGGAGTGACACCGACGGGTTGTACAGTCCATTTGTAATGGAGGGAACCTGTGTTGGTGGCAGCTGGGGGACCCAATTGGTGGAAGGATTGTAGACCGAATGCATTGCGCGATTAGCAACGGAGGGAAAGGGAAGCACAGATGTTGGAATGCCCGAAGCTAGGGCACTAGAAGATGGTGGGAAGTTCGGACGTGGCAATCGTGACATTGATCCAGATAAGCTATTCGCAGAGGGCGCAGATGTTCCTGTCAAGACTGGTGGCAAAGTAGGCACACCGGTCAAAGCAGCCGATGGAAGCGTCGACATCGATGTAGGTAGAGCAGCCGGCATTGCCACTCTTTTCGAGGGTTGGTCTTCGACGTAGTCGTCTAGGGTTCGCTTCTTGGAAGGCATCGGCGGGAATTCCTTGCCCAAGTGGGAAGGTGCTGCGTATGCTGGTGCATTTGATGGCAAGCTCCAGTTCTGAGTACGAAGAACATCCGAATTGGGAGGAGAGGGTAGTCTTTGAGAGGGCGACACTTGAGAAGCTCCTAGATTTGGCGAGATACGAAGTGCTGGAGATGACGACTCGAGTTCCTTCGGTTCCGGCACCAAAGACGCCTTGTTGAAAAAGTCGGCAAAAAGACTAAGTTTCGAATGCCACTGCGTCCACCCTTCCTCCGAAACGAAGAGATTGTACCGCACATTGCTGAGAAACTCCACCTCCATAACATGTATTTCTTGCACAGAAATGCCAGAAACCTCGGCCCACGTTTTATTAGTGTAGGTGTTGTCGTCGAGAACTAAACGCTGGTTAGTTCACTTTCTGAATATTAGCCTTTGGAAGATGTTCAAACCAACATTTATTTCCCAGCATAAGAGCAATTGTCATCAATCTATACTCGCTACCCTTCTTTCCTCGGACTCGATGATTGAATTTCTTCAGCCGGTATACGAAGAGAAGGGCCAGTAGAATGACATTCTGGCTCACTTGCGTAGTCGAGAGGATGTTTGTCACCCATTTCAGGAAACCAGCGGACGGGATCGCTTCTGGAACAATGCACAGAAGGGGGTTCTTTTTTTCTTCGATATCATTCAACTTGGCTGTAGTTTCAAACCAGAACAAGCATGTCATCTGGCTGAATTAGCATACATGGCTGATCACACAGCGAGCGGTAATGGTCCCTTACCTGAGCAGCAAAATCGGCCAGATTACCCTTGCTATTGTTAATAGATGATGGTATCTGCAAGTAAGAAGCAACAGACTTAGAACCTCCTTTCTTCTGGCTGGCTGGCTCAGAAGACGGAGCGTCTTGAAGCGAGGGTTGACTCGGTGGCTTCGACTGCGGTACAGATGCAGCAGAGTGGTGGTCCGCTGCCATGCGCGTATAGTTCGGTGCTTTGGCGTAGGGAGGAAGGGTAACTCCAAATTTACCGCCATAGCCGGAGGGCGGAATGCTATTATACGCAACACCGGCCATATCGTTTGGGGGAGTAGGCAGACCGTCCCTGAACGGTGCGGTCCAGTGGTGATCCGGGTCCTCCAAAACTGTCTCGAGATGTTTTTTCGCACAGGTCGAATCTTCCGTCCGGGAATAGAGAGGTATGGTGGGGGTGAACGGATGTGGGACAGAGGAATACGACTGTGTTGAGAACACTGGAAGCGACATAAGGAGGTTTGCAGGCTGATAATAGAGGAGAGCAGTTGTTGAGTTAATACTGTTGGACACAGCTTCTCATGGAACTCCCATTGGCATCAACCGCAGCTAAGTATTCAATATCGCTGGCACTGATAGCTGTTCACTTGCGAATGGCTAGACCGTCTGGGAAGAGATACAGTGTTGATGGATGTTGGTAGACCACAGAGAATTGCACAGAATTGTTTGGAGTTGTTGAACACTAAAGTGGAGGATGGATCCAGCTTTTGGTCATATCAAAAAAAAGAAAATGCCGTGAAGGTCCCGGAGGATAGTAACAGTAGCGGATCCAGTGAATGTTGATCGTACCTTGGCTGGTGGAATGAAGGCACTGAAGGGGGTGGAGGAAGATTAATTGAAAAAAGGAAAGACCAAGAGTAAGCAAATTTCAATATAGTATTTAGTCACAGTGTTGTGAATTGGTATAGATTGGAAGGTGAGAACGGAGATGTACTTGAACCTTTAGGAAGTTGCAAGTACATCCAGTTATAGAAAACTCATAGATCCAGTAACAAAATCAGAAAAACTAATATAAAAGGAAAGTCCAAAGAATCAAAAAAGCCAAATA